GCCTCCACACGCGTGTTCGGTGGTCATCAGCACTGAGACTGAATCGGGATTCATCGCTGAAGACCACACGCCTCCAGTCAGTCACACTCCAACTTGCCCGAGATCGGCAAAAATCCAATCGACACTGCCTATGATGTGGGGTCAGTGGTAAGCGTCTTAATGGACGTCGGCTCCTTATACCAGCATCGGCCAGTCGTCTCCTAATGGTTTCCCTTGATGCCACCGTATGCCTGGAAGGTGGTAAATGGCGTTGAATTGATGATAGCGACATTGTTGGTGTGGACGTTGCCGCTCTTCTGATTGCGCGATCCTCGCGCTCATTTGTATTTCTGGGACGTCCTGACCCTCTGCGATGGTAGACTCTCCCTTCCGTCATCCACTGTTGCCAACACCGAGCAACTACCATATCGCTCCGACAGAGGTGGCGGCCGATATGCCTGTTCGACCAACCGGCTTCTCTGAGGCCTACTATACGGCCCCTTTCAAACTCCGTCAACTGCTCGTACTGCCGCCTGTTACGTCTCAGAGGCATCTCTATTCACAATACCATCCATCCAAGTCGACAGATTCGTTTAAATAGCCCTACGGCGCAAGCACTCGTCCTTTTAAACTCTCCCAGCTGCGCATCTCATATGCTCGTACCGCCGTTAGCCTTGTCTCATTGGCGTCGAAATTTTAATCATTTGCATATCTCTTACCAGACTACATTCGTACTGACTTTTGTGATTGTGGCTCGATTTCTTCTGGGTGCATACATTTTTTTGTGACAGAGTGTATAAACAAAATCATATTTTAATTGAAAAAATATTACATAAAACTAAAATATAAATTTTCGTCTATAATTTCGTATCTTCTATTATCAGGACTTATTATACTGGCTTTACAGATAATGTTACAAATTTTTTATTTTACTTAATGTACCAGGTATATTAAGTAAAATAAAAGATGTTTTTCTGTAAAACTTTGTAACATTATCTGTAAAGCCAGTATAATAAGTCCTGATAATAGAAGATACGAAATTATAGACGAAAATTTATATTTTAGTAACAAAAAGGACATTGAGGCATTTTAATTACATAAAACTATTTGTAATATTTAGTACGTTTACTCATAATGATAAAATGACTTTCTCATTATAATTATGAAAGTTTTTGTTATGATTCACAGATTCGAAGCCATTAAACGTATAAGTACTGAAATACAGTATCCAAAAAAGTTCAAACATGTGCGAAAATTGATATGTTGAGACAAATTAAAAAAAAAAAAAATGTCATTGATAAAAGATTGTTTGGCAATGTCTAAACATTAAAAACCAAATCAAAAATCCTCCTCCTCAATAAAGTATTTGTAAAAAGTGAAATATTAGATGAACTTAAAAGAAAAATATTTTCAAACCATATTATATATGAAGCAAAACTTATATTTAATTGCAAAAAACCAGCTTCGAATTTTAAAAATGTTATAATTTTTATAAAAATCATGGAGGGAGTTACAACTTTAAAACTGGAAAAGGAAAAACATCAATTGTAGACTTAAAATAACAAAATACTAGACGAGTTTCTTTAAATTCAATTATCATTATATAAAAAGTAAAAGAAATACAGTATTAAATAAAAAAAATTTATACATATTACTTAACATTAACACACTTTAAAATTTATAACCTTTTGAAGAGTAAATTACTTTAAAAAGATGATAAAGCCAACATTTTGCTACTCTGATAAATTTCATTAATATAGGTATTATAGTAAATCATTAATATTATTATTAATAAATACTGAGTAAGACAGCTATATAATTTTAGTTTTGTCCCAAAATACAATTTCAATAATTAATTTGGGAAAGATTTATTTAAAAATAAATTTTTATATTTGCTTATAATAGTGAATAAAGTAGCTGTGAGAGCATTAAAACTTAAAAAAAAATTAGTTGTGCTATATTTGTGAAATTTATTCCTCGCAATGCTCCTTAACAAATTGTAAAAACCTGTCTGTCTGCTGCTATTTTATATGTTGAACAAACATCCCAGACAATCAATACTTATCTAATGGTATAAAAATATTAATTTGATATTGATTTGACAAATTTATCTTAAATACCCAATTCACGATATGATAATAATTCAATATAAAATGATAAATTCAGATAAGCTTATCTAGTGTAATAATAAACTTAAATAAACAATTTAACAGAAAATAGCAAAAGCATAAGTAACAAATGATAAATATAATTCTATATTTATTTTTAATGTAATTTTATCTCAGATATAAAAATATAATTGCCATGTTTGAATTTAGATTTGAATTTCACAAAAATAAATTTATTTTTCACATTTAGATATATTATTAATTAATTAATTTAATTAATTTATAAAATTTAGCTATTATATATATGAAAAAACTCAAACCTCAGATATTCTATTTGCAATGTATTTTATAAATATTAATATCAATAATGCATTTAGTCATTAGTAACATTAAAATTATAATTATAAAATAGTTAACAACATAAGACAACCAAATTACAGAGGATTAACATCATTCAACCTAGCTAACTCTATAGCTATTAACTTTATTATTATTATTTCAATTTTTTGCTAATAAGATGCATTGAACTAATATTGATATCAGATTCAAAATATTTCAAACAGCATGTTATATACTGTTATCAAGTTATACTCTCATAACGACATTCATCCCAGTATTATCATTCATATTTATTGTAATCATCTCACTAGTTTAACAAATATAACTGATCACTTCTAATTTTCAACAAAATTAGAAGTGATTAAAAACTTAACAAATTATTGCTAAACATTATAACATCATCTCAGTTTAACTGCTCTTAAACCAATTCAATAACATAATAAACATAAAAAAAACACATTTTATCAATTAAAGTATATGAATATTAATAAAATATATAATTTAATGTATGCTAATAGTATATAGAAGAAATGTTTATAAACAATATATGCACTGTACAAGTAATGAATGATTCATTTACATGAATTCATTCCAAACTACACAGCAGACTGTGAAAAAGAAAATGAGTCAGGATACTGAAAAATATCAGCTGAATCTATCGTTGGTGACTTAGAATTCCACAAAAAATCTTGGCAAATGAGAACAAACTTTGAAATGACTACCTATTTTAAAAATTCTACTTTTATGCTACGAGGAAAAGTTCAATAGCAGCTCCAATTACTGTGAAAAATCAATGAATTTTGATATCATACAGAACAACTATAGATCACATTTTTCAAATTAAATTCACAAAAAGAATATGATATTATATGTCAATGATATAAAAAAATTGTCACTATTAATTCATTTCTTATCACCAAAACATTATGTAACAATTTAATAATATTGAATTAAAGTAAACATATGAAAATTATTTTTAATTAATGGGTCACTTTAATTAAATATTTAATTTGAATTAAAATAATCCTTTAATTCAAAATAATTTTAAAGGGGTTAAGCATGTTTTGGCATAAGGTAAACATGGAAAGATACTGCTATTATGATTTGATACTATCAAAGAAGTTCTGCGAGGATCCATTTTTTGGATATAGACATTGAGTTTAAGACAGAATTATTACACAAGTTTACATAAAATCTTCTTACAGCCCACTATATATTCCATATTATCTTTTTTATTTTGTTGAAAAACAAGAATTACTTTTTTGAATGTAGTGTGAAAAACTCAAATTTAGTTCTAGAACATTGTCTCACAACTGCAATTGAGAATGGAGAAATATTTGAATAGAATTAGGAGATTTGTCAAAATTCTTCTAAAGCAGGGTTCTTAATCTTTTTGTTCCATGCAACCTTTTTGACTACTAATGTAAATTTCCTATATAATTTGGTTTAAAAGTAGACAGACTGCTTTGTTGTAACAGTATTAATAAATACCAATTAAATAATTTAGAAATGTTTTGAAGAAAAGATCAATATGGAACAGGACTCAAACTCATTTTCCACATACGATACAGATTTCCACATACATAATTAGTAGTACTGTACATCTGTATTGTACTACTAACTACACTACCTAGACCTCATCCAATCTCTGCTTCCAACTTATGTTAATTAAAGATGTATACACATACATATTATCTTGCTGACTGGGATATATTATGCTGCTATTTGACAAAGATTAGTTGCCAAAATTAGTCCAATAAATCTGGTAATTAGATATTTGTATTATTATAAATTTTGCATGTTTTCTCGTGTATAACAGATATATGTGAAAAAAATTCAATAATTATAATTGAATAACAATGTTGATAATTTTGATTTCCAAGTGTAAAGGTTACTTGTTACCAGGTACTGATCCAATATATATAATAGACTCACAAAAACCTTTAAGTGACCAGTAAAATATTTAATTGAAAAACAACAAATGTTTTCAACCATATTTTTCGACCTTCTTCAGGTTAAAAGTTCTGAGATTCAAAAAGCCATTGTGCTTAAAGATTTAAAAGTATTAGAACGTTTTGGAACATATCCAATTTTGTGTATAAAATTCATTATGTGCATGCATATCAAGCATTACATAAACAAAAATATATTTAAAAAATATTATTTTACACCCACATGAAACGGTGGAAAACACCTTAAATAGAGTTGTGGGGTCTTCTCCTTCATAAACAAACTTCCAAGCTGTAGAAATATTAATCGCATCCTTATAGTTGATGCAGTTATTGCATAACCCCGCTTTATATATTTCCAGAGTTTCTAGCTTTCGTATGTGTTTGATTTCCAAGACTTAAATTTCTATCATCTGTTTACTATGCTAATGCGTCACTTACAACATAAACTACTACACATTAATGGTTTAGCACAAAAATAACATTGTACAGCTGTATTATATTGTGTATCTAGAGATCTAGAAAAGGTTCAATCCATTAGCATACACACTCCTTATTTGAGAACAGTCACATTTCATAATATTGAATTCTGCAGCAACTTGCTTATCTCTTACTGACAAACATGCCTTTCTTTCAGTTGTAGTCTATCTCTTGGAGCTGATACATAATGTTTCGGTTTTAAATTGCATGTTTCAACGAGTGCCCAACTTTCTGAAATTTTGAGTGATCAGGATATTTTGAAAATATCTCTGCTAATCTTTACAGGTAAGAATTTTTCCTTCAAAATTCATTATGTTTTATTCAGAAATATAATTTTTTCTTGTGATCTCAATTTGAATATAAAATTCATAGTTTCTCCATTCAAATCTCACTCACTCAGGAATGCCCACAGTCCTCATTTGAGGACAGTGGACATTCCTGTTTACTAATCTTTTATTTTTATCCCTATAGAATGAAGCAACTAGTGTTCAAAACTATGGGCATACGTGAATATATCTCTTTTATAAAGAAATCTAATCAGATATTGTGCCTGATTTAGATGATTTGAATGATGACTGCACTGGAGTTGCTAACATAAAAGACATTCAGGGATTTATCAAACTAACATAATTTGTAAAAAAATGAGTTCAGCCAAAAATAAGCACATTTCTGTTCCACAACCATAGTTGTTTGCAGATTATAACAGGTGCATAGGTGCATAGATCAGCATGATTGGCTTCTATAAAAACATAGCTATCCATAAAAAAAAAAATATGGTATTGTTGCCTCTTTACAAAAGCAGTAGACCTTGCTGTAGTAAATGCTTATGTCCTTCATAAAATGATGGAAGAAAAACCAATGTCTATAAGAGTTTTTAGAAGAAATATAGCTAGCAGCTATTTGAAGCCTGGTACAGATGAAAGACTACTAAGAG